CTGTTTCAGTTCCACCACCCAGCCCTTTCAGAAGTATCTTTTAGAGCTTCCAGGTATTCGGCAAACTCCAGGCCTAACACCCTTTCACATGTATCAGATCAGATAAGGAGCACAAGGAGGCACAGGCTTCAGCTATCAATGAGAGAAACCCCTGTGTATTAACAGTCTAAGCAACAGACTCACTTTGAAACCCTTCATGAGGCTTACCACAAGTTTCAAAGCAGGAAAGACTTATGCCTTCATCCAGTATCCCTACAAGTGTTTGGATAGGCAGTGGGATATTGCATTATCCTCACTGGTAAACAGCAAACAAACTCCTTGATTTGGCATCATAGGACAAATAAGAATGTCTCTCTCCAAATGTCGTGATACTACTTTGCCCTTAGTCCCCTCAACCATTCAGCAGCTCCAGGCTCATGCACTCGGTAAATCTCATTTCAGAGCAAAAGCACTTATGGCATCTTGAAGCCGCTGCCACCAACTGAGAGAACTAAAATAATTTATTGAGAAGAATGCAGCAACACCCCCAGCACACAGCAGCAAGACCTCACTTCCTTACCTAAGCACAGTCTCCTCCCTGCTGCCCTCCCTATTCCCTTAGTTCAGGGACTTGCAGGGAGAGAAAGCTGCAGCCTCAAAATGGTGTTTTGTTTCCCATCACCAACAGCAGCAAAATCTGAACACTAGATGGTATAAATCAGTGGTATTGTCATGGCTTGGAAACTGCCCTGAATTGCAGCAGCAGAGGATCTAGAAACACACACACACCATATTTTCAACTCTTCAATCTAGCAAAGAAAGAAAATTTCATTTTCACAGCACACCTGAGAACAAGATCTAAGTAAGCAATCTGCTTAAATTAAAGCTACACACCGCATGCAATATTGTTTACCGATTCAAAGATTAACAAAGTTACACTAAATTTGATCTCTGCAGATAGCAAAGCACATTAAAGGGAGTTCTTTTATTCCACTGGTATTCTCTAAGGTACTTTTGTGCCTATAAATCAGGTTTGGATTCACACAGAACATTTAGCAGACTTATGCATGATGCACTGAAACAGAAGTAAGATATAATTAAGCACTGACATGACAGCTAACAAATGTGTTTCTGAGCAGTTTCCACATGCCTCATGTGGCATTATGAGGCACCTAAGCCAAAAGCTCAGGGTACATTAACTACCAGAGAGGGGCCATAATTCTCTCCAACTATACAACCTGCCACATTGCCTTGCTATTTTGAAATACAATTTGCAAATTAAAAGAAAGAAATAGAAAAGAAAAAAAAAATAAAGGAAAGACAATCAAACCCGTGTAGTGCGAATAAAAGCATGAAAATCACAGTAGCCTTAGGAAAGTTTCCCAAATTCCATAGCTATCCAAGAATAAACCATACAGTAAACAACAAGGATAGATAATGGAGTCCGAGATCCAGCATTAGTTTCCTTTCCTTTCTCCTCCTTTCAGCCAAAATGCTGAGTGCAAATGCTAAACTGCAGGTAGCAGAGGGCTGCAACATAACTTATGATGGAGTTATAAAAAAAAATCTCAAATAATAATAAGCAGTACAGCACTCTGTGTTTTATTTGGAAGGAGTTCTTCCACTAAGTTTGCTCATGTGCTGAGGCAGATGAATGCTTCTCAGCCTGAATCACAGTCGTGCTGAGAAAAATGCGCAGCGATGCCATAGCTCTGGAATATTTCATTTCCTGGCAGTGTATGACAGTAGCACTAGTCACTTAAATTCACCACCACCAGCTACTTAAATTCAACAGCAACTGTTAATGATTTAGCATCTACTGGCAGTTTGTCCCCCCTAGCCAGTAAGCAGAGCTGCAAAGGTCTACAGGCACCATCATGCTGATTAGCAGTGATTAACAGTGATTAGCCTGTTTGATCCAGGATTTACACACAGCACAGGCTGTGCTGGAAATCAATCTCCATATCTGGGATTTAGATCTGAGCTGCTGGGGAGGATGTCCCTGCCTTGCTGGTTGCAAAAGCAGGCAGCAGGCCAGCAGCGAGAGCAGGCAGAAAAACCTCCTCAGTGCCAGCACAGAGCTGGCCAACTCCTCCTCAGTGAGCCGAGCCAGCAAGGACACCCCAGTGTGCCCCAGAGAGGACCTGAACAGAGCAGTGTAAGTCAGCAAAGCAAGTCCTGTTTAGGGCCTTTCCAGAGCCTGCTCTCTGCAGAATGAGTCCTCACACTGTGGATCAGCTGCCACACTTGGTACACCAAGCACAGTGCACACACATCTCAGCTATGAGCAATTACAGCCACCAGGCAGGTTAACCCCTTAATCTCTCTGGATGCCCCCTGAAATCAGTGGAGACAGCTCACCTGCTGCATTCCTTCCACAGAAATCAGCCCTGTGAATTCCACGCACAAAGTCTGCTGTCTCAAACATTCCCAGCTCCCAAACCTCTCTGCTTGCCAGTCCTTCAATAGTGCTTCAAGAAACCTTGAGCTCTTTCATGTAAGGGCATGAATGGAGAAAGAGCTCTGACTTAGAAATTGAGTCAAGTCTAGATGGCTGCTGAGGAGCAAGACTGACATTTTCCTTGCTAGCTCCCAAAAGCAAAAAAAAAAAAATTATATATGGTGGGTTGAAAGTATAAATAAATCAGAAGTGGTTTTACTTTTGTTAAACTGACCTCAAAAAACTGGCACCACTACCTCCATTGGGAACAGGCAATTATTTTCAAATAGCAACGTTTTTATCTAAAGTTATTGGGGCATGAATGGAGAAAGAGCTCTGACTTACAAATTGAATCAAGGCAATTCTTTTCAAATAACATTTTTATCTAAAGTTATCCTTTTAATGCTTTTTTGAGAATTATCTCAGAACACTGTTTATTTTTCATTTGCAAGTTTATGCTCCATTATTGAGTAAGAAACATTTTAAGGGTTAGGGGGTTTTAAAATATATTGGTTTTAACCTTAATTTACATCACATCCTAGAATTTGGATAATTTGCTCTTAAATTGCGAATTAACTGAGAAAACAGCCATTTGCACAGTTCTGTTCCACAACAATCTCATTTTTATCTAAAGTTATCCTTTTAATGCTTTTTTGAGAATTATCTCAGAACACTCAAGTTTATTTTTCATTTGCAGGTTTATGCTCCATTATTGAGTAAGAAACATTTAAGGGTTAGGGGGTTTTAAAATATACTTATATTGTTTTTACCCTTAACTTACATCACACCCTAGAATTTGTATAATTTGCTCTTAAATTGCGAATTATTCCACAACAACCCAAGAGGGAAGCAAGGTGGCTCCATTATCCCAGCATTTGAATGCTCCTGGGACAGAGAATAGTCTGAATTTAAAAAGCAGGGATTCTTTGGTATGTAAACCCAGAGATGAGTTTACCCCTCTAGCTTTTCTCTCCTGGGAAGCACTCATTCCTCTTCAGTTTTATTCAGTGATTGATTCCATTAGAAAAACAAACAAAACCCACAAAATAAAACATCTAAACCCAAAAACATACAAACAACCCTGCCCCTCAAAAACCTCAGCGCTCCTAAACACAAACCCCAAACAGATAAAAAACCCCACACAAATGGTCAAATCATATCAAATTGGGCAACAAGTTCAAAAGTTATTAGGCAGAACTGAATGTGCATGCACACACATGAACTTCAACTTTATTTTCTTAATTAGACTTGCTATCCACAACAGTAATAAAAGAAAAAAAGCCTTAAGATCAGGCACTAGAATTTAGTGCTACAACACTACAACATTAGAGAAATTTTTCTTCAGTTCATGACTTCCATCTGACACACTATTTAGGAGCTTCCCCCCTACTTTGCCCATATTAGTTTTGTTTCGTTTTACACAAGTTTGGGGAGATAGAATCAAGTAGGAGGGAATACATTGAAAGAATTAGGGAGGACAAAAATAGAAATATCTTTTAATTAGCATAAGTTTTGACTAGATCATTGGCTCCAAAACCCAGATTCTGAAGTACCTGGCCACACCAAGCATAGCAGAAACTCAGCTCTTCTGCAACAGGGCTTGTTACAGAAAGAGATTCAGAATTCAGCGTCAGTATCCTTTTTCAGATTAGCAAAATTGCTGCTAAAAAGCAGTAGGGCGCTATTTCCCTCAGATATTAGTATAAATATATATGTACACACTGAGGGAGCTAATATACACCTGTATGTAAAGGGTTGAGATGCAGGAGGAAGCAACCTGACTGTATGAAAAAGCACCCAGCAATACATCACCACAAACCTGGTGAAAGAGAATGGCACAACACAGAAAGCACACAAATGAAAGACCTCATTGCCCTGTTTTTCTAGGATTAGCCTTTTAGTACAGGGTCAAGGAGCATGTCTGCACAAATGTGTAATTACTCTCCAGGGACCAGGAGTCCAGGCATGTTCACTCATGCTCTTTCTGCTGCAGTTGAGAAAAATAAAGCAATCTGCTGGATTGTCTTAATAAAAAAAGGAAAATAAATTAAAAAGCACAGACCATTTTAACTAAGCCCATCATTTATATCACTAGGTGTAGGAGATGTGACCAGCCAACTAGAAATAATCCAGCAGGTTGGAAGCAAGCAGCAAAATGGTCAGCCCATTTCTTTTGCTGCCTGCTACATAATAACGGGGGGAAGAAGTAAAAAAGGGGGGAAAAAAGCACACATCTAGTTCTGAGTTTCATTCATACCCCAGTATTCCACTGAAGCTACAATGGCTCATTCATTTTGCCCTGGAATTAAAGCAAAGATGATCCTTGCCATTAGGGGTGTGGGGTGGTCGCAGCAAAACAAAGAACAATAAAACCAAAAGAGACTGAAATTTCAAAACTTTTTCCCCCTCATGCATGTCATACTTTGTTCTGACTCCCAGTCCTGGCACCAGGCTTGCTGAATTCCCACCACACAGATTGTCACATCAGGTTGGATCACCAAAGCAGCTGGTCAGTCCCATATGTCCAGGCCATGCTTTTTTCCTGATGCTCTGAAGCCCCTCACTAGTCATTAACACTCACCTTGTCATCCCAAGAATTCCTCAGCTGTAGTCAGGATCCAAAAACAGCCTACACTGTAATAGAGGCCACATTTCAAAAGTACAAAAAACCCTTTCTCTACTGCGTATCTTCCAAATTGGTGTTCTCCCATGGTGCTTTGTATGTTTCTACACCAGGTGGAGGCACTTTCTCTTTGACAAAAAAGCAATTACTGATTTTCTTAGCTTCCTGCTGATTCTTGTTTACTAATAACAACCATTCGTCTGCCTCTAGTTACCAATTATCACCTCCAATCTAAAAGAGAAAAAAAACATTTACCAGGTCTGTTGTGATTTTGGTCAGGGCTTTTAAAAAATTTCTTAGGGTCAAAAAGAGTCACATGAAGCCTATTGTACATGGAGTTAAAATTAACTGCTATTCACTGTGATTCTGGGAATCTGAACAGTTTGATTAGGGAACCACATTTCTTGAAAGGTAGTAGGAAACAACATTTTCTACCTATTTTTCATTTGTGTCTCCTTTCTGATGAAAGTAGAAAACAAAATGACATTTTATAGCACCATGCTGTTTTCAACAGTTTTATATTAAAAAAAGATACCATTGAAAGACTTAATTTAATTTTGTTGAAATTATACATGTTGAAAAAATAATTTACGCATCTTAACCCACAATTAGTGTCTTCCACTTGTACTTTTTAAGGCTGAAAGTGTTTAAAATAAAAACATTTTATTTGACATAAAGATAAATCCTTTTTTAAATTAGATTTTAGAAATGCCACAAGTAAAAATAATGAACAAATAAACCACACAAATATCTTGAGCTGAAACTTCACTGAAATCAATAATACTTGACATAAATCGATTTGGCACCAGTACATTTAATATATTTCTCATAATTGATATGATTCAGAGTATTCTTAAGCACAAACATAAACACCTATATAAATATATAGAACTACTATCTGTCTCTCAAAAATGCTATTTTAGAGGGGAAAGAGTAAAACTTTAGAGAAATGGCTCCTGGTTCTATATCGGCCATTCGAATGCCACAAGCTTTTAATATTCCCTCTCCAGTTACTGAGACTCCATATAGCCAGCCTGAAAACAGGTGAAACAAACCCCAAACATGAAACAATCACCATGTAACATTTCTAAAGCTCAACAAAAAAATGGTAAGTTGATGTATTTCCTCCCAGAGTCCAAACAGAGGACATCTGTGACATTTTGTAGTTGGGGAAACAGATCCAGAGGTGTAAAAACTCATAGAACTCAATGAGGAAAGTAAATATGCAATTCAGGCTTTATTTTTCTATTTTCCTCTTCTTTTACCATGAGAAAACTTTCCCCTTTTGAGGTCCGTGTTAGATGTGTCAGCATACTCACAGAAATATCAGTCAACTCTTTGCAATACTGGCTTTTCCCCCTTTTTCTTCTTAGTCTAAATTAGTACTTTAGTTTGCTTTCAAAGACCATAGGTGAAAGTGGCATGGTTAAAGAAGCTTTACAAATAACAGAAGACACCTCTGTGGACTTTTATCTGATATCTTTACAGACTGGAAGACTAGAAACAATAAGCATGGTGCAATCCAAATAAATGTTTTTTAGGGTGAAAAAAGAGGGCCATTGGCATTGTCTGACATCATCTCTCTCCATAAAGCAGCACAGAAACACTGAACAGTAATCTCTGCTCAGATTCAGTTTGGCATGTGCTCACCATTCTGGCTTCTCTGACTTTGCTAGGGCTTTTAAGTTCTTCAGATTAAACTAGTTGCTTGACCATGATAAAGATCCCTGATGAATTATTTGCATATGAGTTGGTAAAGTACTTAATGTGAAAAATTATTTTAAAAATGCAAATTAAAAAAAAAAAAAAAGGAAAAAAAAACCAGCTCTGGCCATTATGTCTTGAAATAACAGTAAAATTTTGCAGACAACTCTGCTTTCTCTCAGTAGAGCAGTAATGAAGATAAAGTTCTCTTCATTAATATCAGATCCTTTGTACTCTGACCAGTGACTAAAAATTCTCCTCTTTTCCCCCATCCTGCCATATTTGTCATGTGTCCCATAACCAGAGCTAATGAAGTAACAGCAAAGATTGAATGGATGACCTTCCCCTCCACACAGACAGACACTTCTCCCTGAACACCTTTGTTTCTGAAATGAATGCTCTTTGACTTGCAGCTTTACTTTTCCAAATATTTTTCAACTTTATTAATATGCTGCCTATTGAAATGTTGTTCAGGTTATCCTAAGGATTACATTTTTTTTTCTTGCTATACAAAATGTTTTTGCAGGATCTGTTAAACTAATGTGGGAGGTGAGGAACACTTTGGAATAGCATGTTCCTGTTTTTCAGGATATCAACTTCAGAAACAACAGAGAGGAGACAAACGAACAAAAAAAAAACCACCCCCTTCATCTTTCCCCACAATAAATGTATGAAAAAACAAGGACATCCATTCTCCCAGGTTTGCAGAGTGTGTAGATCTCAGCATCCCTCTGTCCACATTGTAAACTGAACTGTGGCTATGACTCAGCTCTCTCTCATTCTTATAATGAGGAGCTAACAGGGAGCTATGACATAGACTGTCCAAGTCCACACTGCACCAACCAGAGGGACAAAGCAGTCTGAGAAATGTGGGCTCTGTCCTTATTTCTCAAAGTGGTTAGGAAAAGTGGAAACTCAACAGTTTCTAGTTTGAATACTACTTTACAAAAGTTAAAACATTTCATTCGTGGCAAAGAATGATTTATGTCTTTTTTAGCACTACATATTACTCTGTGCAGGTCTGCTGGTTTAGATCTCTCAGTATAAGCCAAGGCCAGAACATTCTTCACAGAGAGCTGCTGTAACTGCTTTGTGTAGAAAACTGGCTCACAGGACTAAACATTGGCAAAAAGCCTAAAACAATACTTGTCCACGGATAAAATCTATTAAGCATAAAAGAATTATAGGTGAGAGCAAAGCAAGGATCAGTGGTGCAGTGTGAGCTTCTTTTAAGATGAATATATATGAAGCTTTCATGAGAGAGCTGAAAAACTCATACTGCAGAGGACGTGAGGAATGATGGCAATGAAACACTTAAAAGAAAATGTTTACTCAAGGGCACCACAGGATTGATGAAATGATCAAAATAAACAGGTGAAGTCAGATTCTTCTCATGTTTTTCTCAAAATTGTTCTCTTATCCCACGGGAAAGACTCTTCACCACCAAGAACTAAAAAAATATATATATTTATCTATAAAAGGAAAACAACAGCATATTACTGAAAGAAGAGGAAAGTTTACAGCAGAAGTTTTTTTTTAAAATTCTTATTTAATACTGTGGTAGTAATGTGCTATATCAGGTGTCTCTATACAGAGAAAGATTGTCCTTTCAAATTATTCCAGTATAACTTTAATAAACAGAAGCATCAAAAAAAAAAAAGATGTATGAGAGAGAATAAGAGAATAATAAGAGTGAAATCAGGTGTCTCTATACAGAGAAAGATTGTCCTTTCAAATTATTCCAGTATAACTTTAAAAAACAAAAGCAAAAAAAAAAAAAAAATGTATGATAGAGAATAGGAGAATAATAAGAGTGAAGACAACTCTCCATCCAATTTCTTCTGTGCTTTTAAGAGTTTGGGAAATAAAATTAAAATTACTGAAGTCATTCCTTGCAATTGTGGGACTCTCCTGTCAGTGAGTGAAGCTGTTTATGTGCACACCCTGCAAGGGACATCTCTACCTGCCCTCTTGGGCATTTCAAGCAGAGAGCTGTGCACTTGCAGCTCAGAATGAAATTCTGTTTTCTAATTCTAGCCATTTGGAATTGGGGTGGGAGGTGGTGGGAGGAATTAATTGAAAACCTGAACAAGCTGGTGACACCTACGTAAATTAATCAGAAAGACTGGTGTTTAATTTACACTCAGTGAAGGCTTGACACTTGTGAGATATTCCCAGTGCAATCAGCAGACAGCTTTGCCCCTTCTTTCAAACCAAACTTACAGATCATCCTAACTACAGCTGTTTGGATACAGCAAGGCTGATGAACTCTTTCCTAAAACTGGAGACATTTTTCATTCAAGGATTAAAAGAACCCATAAGATATCAAATGGTCTTGAAAATTGTCAAAATTAACATGGTGATTGCTGGTGAAGAGGACTCAAGAGTAAGCCCACCAATGGCAATAGAAACTGTCAATATAAACCAGACCTGGGTAAAATGACAACTGATAACAAGAACTCAAACCAGGGAAAAGATCTTTAAGTGCTGTTTTATTTGCCCTATTTAAATTACTGTGTAATATCAGTAACTAATTTGTAATCCAGATACCATGATGTCCAGGGAAATGCAACTTCCAGAAACGCAATAAAATTATTATCTACAGGTACTGGAGTCTGTCTGCTGAGGAAAACTAATGAAGACTCAGTTTGTGTAACAGGCTACTATTGAAATCAGTATTTCCTTGTGACTCAGCAGCTTGCAAAATATCTGGTTGGTATCAAATCAGACAGGATAGCTCATCCAACTGGTCTTACCCACTTTCTTGGTGGCTGGCATGTCTTGGCCAACTTCCTGCGAAGATGTCTTCCCAAATATGGGGAAAACACTTTTTTTTTCTTTTCAATATTATATATATTCATTGAATGAATAAAATGCCCCTTGCATAATGACATTAGTGCCAGCTACCTGATCATTCTACCAACATGATGAGGAGTGTTAACAGAAAAACAGCTAAATAAATCAAGCTGACATGTTGCCCTGCTTCTGTACTGATTTCAAAGTGATGCTGTCACACATCACTGAGTAAAAAAAAATCCAAACAAAGAACAATACACTCCTACATCAGTCAAATATTGTGACACAAACTGGAACAAGTCATAGAACTGAAAGCTAACATCAATCATGAGGACTTTCATTCTGGCCATTGGAAATACAAAAGAAAAAAACCCACAAGATTTCTCTCAAAATCCAATTGTCATTATATGAATTTATATTTCCTAGATTTTTAAATTGCTTTTAATCTCAATCATTTTTATGGGTAGCTTGTGTATATTCCCAATACCATATGTGTTGATTACTTGCTTCTCTAAAATAATAATAATAACATATAAAAGTAATAATATAATAC